CTAATGTACTAAGAACTGATGCAAAAATAGAAGGTTATAATGGAAACTGACTCTTCTCCATCACCCACTGAGGTCTTTATTACATCCTTCTAAAATTTATCCATGCCAAAGGCCTCCATTCCCAAAGCTCAGAACAAAAATCTTGCTTTGGTATTAGATATCCACACAAGAGCTTACAGTCTAGGACAAATCACATCAACACATGTAGCTGCTAAGTATTCTAGCTGTCATACCTGCATTGTATTTACAGTGGATCCTTTGGCTCCTGACTGGACCATCAACTGCAAATTGTTCTCTGGAAAGCTCCTGTGGAGACCAAGTGGCATACAAACCTAAAGAGTTGTGATGGGGTAAAAGGAACAAAACCAAAGCATGATTAATAAAATAATAAACCAAAGCAATTTCTGTTGAAGACTTTTAAAAAGTGAAACCATGACTAACCACAAACATTCCTACTGATAATTTTAAAAGCATCTTGACTATTAAGTCATCTTCTCAATCAGGGAAGACAAGGTTGAGGTGCACTGGTAAGACTGTATGTGAAGCCTCATGCTGGGGACAGATGGAAAGCTTTAGCCTCCAGAAGAGTCAGGCAGCCCTCATCAACATTAAATTAACTTAGAAAGTCTTCAAATAAGATTAGTATACACAGATGCCTCAATGCCAACCTTGTTAACTTCATTGTTGTAATTGTTTACTTCCTCCTTGAATTTCATATCGACCATGTTGAAATCCCTCTGGTCTTTGCAGAGATGGGCATCCTGCCATTTCCCTCGGACCTCCTCGCACGATGCCGTTTCTGGCAAATTAAGAGCAGCTCTAACAGCCTGAAAGTAAAACATGGGGATTTTTAGGTGCTAAGCAGACATGATTAAACTGGGCAGGATTTAAAAAAAAATAGAAGGGGTGGGTGTGTGTGTGTAAATTCTGCAAGACACTTACTTCAATACCACGCTGCCTTGACTTTTCAATGATTTTTTTTCTTTTGTGGTCTGCTTCAGGTTTGACCAAAATATCTTCAATCCCTGTAAAAGAAGACAGACCACATAATGATCTAAACTGAAAAAGAATCGAGGAAGGAACCACATTTGGTGTCAGGGAATTTGAGAGCAAGGAAGTGGAAAAGAATGTCCCAATTAAAGATTTAACAACTGTAAAAATCAGGCTAACTGCAGTTTGAAAAAAAAAATAATAATTCTGAGCTACTTTTTGAGGGAGAAGGCACAGGCTGTCAAAAAACAATGCAACATCAACTAAGCTAAGCATTAAGGGTGCAAAACTAACTCCCTAACTCGGTGCACTTGCACAAACAAATGTGTTACATCAAACTGGTTTTTCTCTTTCATCTATTTCAAAGTTCCTATTAACTGAACTTGGCAGCATCTGTCATTTCCTAGCTTTTTTAATAAGGTAAACGAAAAATACAGGCCCTTGTGATATCAGGACCAGCAGAACAACAATTTAGAACAAATCAGATCTTGGAATCCTAACTCCTGTAAGCTATTTATAAGGAGTCCTGCAAAAGTCACTAGAACGGTCACTAAAATGGCTGGATCACATGATGGATGAACAGAGGCTGAATGATGTGTTTGCCCTTCAGAGATACAAGGAAATAAATTCTTTATCAAGGGGAAAAAAATGTTGACAATGTGTATGATCAAACGGTGGCACAGGGACCCAGAGAGGTTGTACCATCACCATCCCTGGAGATATTCACAATGCGACTCAGCTCTTTGCAAGCTCATCTGGCAGGCCCTGCTGTGAGCAGGGAGCTGTGTTAGATCGCCTCCAGAGGTTCCTCCCAGGTTCCACATACAGCAGTTGTAGGGGGACAAGCGGGACACTTTGCTAGTGAGTTACACACACAATTACAAGGCAAAGGAGCCTATGACCCTGTCACATGTCCCTCTATCTTCACTCTTCACTCCAGCTCTGCTCTCCTTTTCCCATTACAACCTTGCCTCTTTTACTTTACCTCCTTCTCCTGAACCTTATTCATCTCATCCCAAAGTCTCATTTTGCTTAGTCCCAAATCATCTCATCTTCACCAAAGCCCAGACCCCTGTTCCAGGCTCAATTCTCTTTTTCTGATGTTTTAACTATTTAATGATCCTAAGCTCATTATCATGGTGTAACTAGTTTTTGCACCACTGCTCTCAAGACATATGTTCTGTGTCTTACAGTCAATTAATTACCCTCCTCACTTCAACACATCTCCCTCCCTTTTCCTTGGCTCACAGCAGTCTGTTGGTTCCTCACTTCTGCTGTCTACCAGTTGACTGTCTCTACATAACTCTAAGTGATCATATCGTGCCTTCAGATAAAAACTGATTTAAACCCTGCTGCTGCTATATACTCTGAAGTATTTCATTAGTATAAAAACATCTTGTAAAGCTCTACCTAGTAATTTGAAATATTTCAACTATTGCAAGAAGAGAGAGTACAGTGAGGGTCAATTTTTTTTATTGCCTGCCAAGTGCATTTTTGTGTTAGTTTGCCAAGCTGTAATGAAAGTCAAACATTTACAGTAGAGATTTGCAAGACTTGACTAATAACCCCACAAAGTTCTTCCATCTCGCTTTATCAGTTGTTCTGGCTTCTATGCAACAATTATTTTTCAGAGAAGTAAAAAATAACAAAGACTCATAAGAGGTTTTGATCTAAACAGAATTTAAACACAAGACATTCAGGATCTGTACACTTTGATTAGGTAGGACAGAAGAGAGAACTTGATGGACATACTCAAGATTATACTTTCTCTTTATGCTTAGAAAGCCAGCTGTGCACCAACCAGAACCAAAAAAGACCATTAAAAAAAAGGCTGGCAAACAGCTATCCCACTTAACAGCCTTGCAAAATTTTAATTACAGAATCCTTAGCATGTACTATGCTCAACAATGTTTGTTTTATATGTCAGGAGGTGCTGCACTACAGCACTAATGAATTAGTCCTTGTGTTACTCACCCATTGTAAATCCCCTGTACAGCTGCAGATAAGCAGTAAAGAGGCGTCCTAGACACGTTAGCACTTTCCCACTCGTTTCACCCCCGTAGATTTCATAGCAACAGTGGACCAGGCCATAGGCAGAGCTGCCAAAGTGAGCTTTGTCCAAGACTCCACACAGTAATTCCCCATTTCTAATAATAACCTGAAAAATAAAGCACAGCTATTCAGGAAAACAGAAATTTTTGATCTCATTACTATCTCTACAGGTTTTTTCTGAGTAATCTACATGAAAATAGGCTTAAATTTAAAAAACCCACATATTGGTGAACAGTTCAATATGGTCAGATTATCTATACTTCCAGAATTCACAGCAGAAATAAAACTTCTAACACCATCTGTATTTTTCCACCTATAAAGTCAAACAATGAAGACACATGGTCTAACAAAACCAGATGGAACCTGTATCAGTTGAGACCAGAACAGAGTTTTTCTTGACCCCCAGGTCTATCCTTTAATCACCACCTTCTGGCAGTAACTTGCTCAATATCTGTTTTTAACTTTGTCATCCCCCTGCTTCCCTTCCCATTCCCCTACCCCATACACAATTTTATTACAATACATCCCAGTTGCTGCCCCAGCATACCTGAGATTCACACATTGAGTCAAGGTTTAGACATCTGTTTGCAGGTCCCTTTACCCAAGTTCTTCCACCAATCTTAGCTTTCCCAGTCAAATTCAGTGGGATTTGGTTTTCTGGAATGATGTTTATTAACAATGTAGAAACAACCTATAAAGAAGCAGGAAGAGTGGTAGGAACTATTAATTTCCTACATTCTCTTCTCTCTGTAAGGCATTTGGCATGGAGGAGAAAAGCAACATCCTATATATATTTTTTCCACTGACAGCAAAGCTTTAAAAGCTCAGAAATCTGAAGTTTACAAGACAGGAATATCCTCTTGCTACTCTAGCCTTTGAAAGATCAATGAGCTGAGACACATAATCATTCAGAAACACATGGCACCAAAGATTTTTCCAATAATTAGAGACACACACACACACACATATATATATACACACATTAAAAAAACTGAACCAACCAAATGAGTTGTCTGTTGCGTTTTCCAGGAAAAACTGGCACAGAATTTCCCCTACTTTGCTATGAGACATAATACCTGGATCAAATGTTAAACTCTCTTAAATAGCAGAAAATGGAGCATTGACTTGGGCTTTCCAGATATTACATCAACCTAATGATGATCTCAACCAAAAGTCAAAAACCAGAGTATACAATCTTTATGTTCAGAGATTTAAAAGTACTCACTGGCATAACTTAAGTCTATTACAATCAACAAATTCCTTCTCTGCTGCCCTGCCTGAAAAATGCAGCATTATACTTCTACCTGCAACACTGTTCAGAGCAGCACACAGAAGTACTATTCTAACACTGTCATTTTAAATGAAAGATGACTCTCATACCTCAGTAACACACACCAAGATCTACGAGGTGTTGATTAGATGATGGGATCTGGCTTTTCAACAACCCTCAGCAGCACTGGTTATAACATTAGCATTCTGCTTACTTTGGAACCACTAGCATTCCTTAGCCCAATAAATTATAAACTACCTGCTTTCCTGTCCATAATCGCTGTGGTTTCATAATGGCAGGAGGAAAGATTTTAATTTTTCCTTTTTTGTCTGTCAGCCCTCGGTAAACAAGCTCCATATATTGCTCTCTGGTGAAATAGCAGCCCCGGATTGTCATGCTGACTCCAGAAATCATGTGATCCTGGATTAAGCCAGGAAGTGGCTTCCCATCCTAAAGAGAAAACAAGGAAAAGAGTTGAGGTGGATAATAAGTCATGTGCTAGCAGCTCCCAAAATAATTCCAGCTGGACAAAAGCACTAAAGTAATTTGTAAAGAACTTGTCACTGTGGCATAACTCTCTACTAAATCTCTTCTGGTTGTTGAAATTAAAAGGAACAAGATTGTTTTGATGGGCTAGGTCTTCTTTAGATGAAGAAAATCACAAGCAGAGACAGAAAAGAAACCAGGAATAAATTTAAAAAACAAATTAAAAATAAAACAAACCCAATCTCATTTATCATCGGACAAAACAAAACAAATAAAGAAACAAAATAAACAAACAAAATGATTTCATGCAGGAATAAATTTATCTGGCAGCTTTAGTTACCTTTGGAACCAGATACTGTTCATCAGTAAAGGCCAAGGTGTAGGCTTCTGCTCTACCCAGCTCGCTCTGTGGAAAATGGGCGTTCATTTCATCACCGTCAAAATCCGCGTTGTAAGCCTTGCAGTTGGCGTAGTGAAGCCTCAGCACTTTTTCTCCAGGCAGGATCCGGGCCCGGTGAGCTTGGATGGAGGGTCTGTGAAGAGTGGGCTGGCGGGTCAGCAAAAGGACATCTCCGTTTTTAATGTGTCGACATACCTGCAAGAGAATTTAGGTTGCTGGGTGTCAGGCATTTCCATCTTAAAATACAGAGACATTCAAAACATTTTCTTTCTAGTATTAATGTTCTGAGCAAAACTTTGTAAGAAAATCAAGACTACTTGCTCCTGAACACCTTCTGCTCTCCACCAAACCACAATCTAAGGCTGCATATCCTCCATTAACTCCCACAAACCACAGTGATCAAACCAAGTTAACAGCATACAAGTCATGCTCTACCAATCTCTCTTCTCCCTTGGCAATATAAGGATCAAAGGCTGAAAAATAAAGGAAATGATCCCATTTGTAAATGAGAAAATAAACTATTAATCCAAAAATTAATAATTAAAAAAAATAAACTATTAATCCAAATAGTAAATCCAAAAAAATAAAAAAAATAAACTATTAATCCAAATCCCTGGGCTGAATTGATAACACCCAGCACTGGACATCCTAGAATAAGGTAATAATATGACCCCAGCAGCTGAAGCAGAGCCCAGGAATCTCTGAGTGATAATTTCAGGTTTGAGTGCAACACAATATATTCTTATCTAGGACTGAGTCTCTCAAAACAACCTTATTTTAATTTACCTGTCAATAACACCCATATATCATAGAATCATAGAATCATAGAATGGTTTGGATTGGAAGGGACCTTGAAGATCATCTAGTTCCAATCCCCCTGCCATCAGCAGGGACACCTTCCACTAGATCAGGTTGCTCAAAGCCTCATCCAGCCTGACCTTAAGGCTTATCCATTTAAGTGATTATCCACAGGAGTACAGTAAGCTGTTTGTACAGTACTGTTATGTTTACCTCTCTTGACAGGTTCTGAGAGAACTGACATCACAGAAATACTCAGCCTTGAATATTAAATCTCTACCACACCTCTACTAGAGAGAGGAATATACACAACAGACATAATGAAAAGACTATTAATCACCAAAACTGTTGCCCTAGCAGCTAAATAGTAAGTTCTCAACTCTTGCAAGGGAGGGAGATACAGTTATTAAGAAGTTTCAGAAGCTGATTAAGCTGCAGCACAGAGAACTCAAACCCCCCAGCAGGTCAAAAACCAAAAAAACCTGATACAAGGTTTTTTTACACGAAGCATTTCACAGATGTTAATATCTATACAAACAGATGGGGATCAGTGTGGTTGTTTCTTGTTTTGTCATCTGTAAAACAAGATGGTGATGGGAAGGTGGATCTCAGGTCACAGCAGTCAGCACTAAAACACAGAGCACTCCTCTCTGGGTCAGTGCCACTACCAGCTGACACAGGAGAACTCTACTTCATACATACTCATGGGCACCCCACTCCTGGAAGACATGTCACATCAACTGCTTGTGTGGTACCTACTCTACCAGTACACTGAATTCCAGCCTTCAGCACTACCACCAAAAAACTGCTCCAAATGATGATTGACCAAGATGATGAAGGGAGTGGAGCATCTCCCTGATGAGGAAAGGCTGAGGGAGTTTGGGTCTCGTTAGCTTGGAGAAGAGGAGACTGAGGGGAGACCTCATTAATGTTTATGAATATGTAAAGGGCAAATGTCATGAGGATGGAGCCAGGCTCTTCTCAGTGATGCCCAATGGTAGGACAAGGGGCAATGGGTGTGAGATGGAACACAGGAGGTTCTGCTTATATTTCAGAAGAAACTTCTTTACAGTGAGGGTGACAGAGCACTGGAACAGGCTGCCCAGGGAGGGTGTGGAGTCTCCTTCTCTGGAGACATTCAAGACCCGCCTGGACGCCTTCCTGTGTGATCTCATTTAGGTTCCTGCTCTGACAGGGGGATTGGACTGGATGATCTTTCGAGGTCCCTTCCAATCCCCAACATTCTGTGATTTCTGTGAAATACAGAACCTATTTAATATTTCAAAAGTAGAGGAAAAGAAGATAGAATTTGCCAAGGACAAGGAGGTAGTGGGACAGAAAAGCATAAAAAGAAAGCAGAATTTTATCTTCCATACTGCTACAACTTCCCAAGAACAGCCAGTTGTAAAAGAAAGACTACTTCCTATCTTGGCAAGATGAATGCCACACACTGCATATTAAGAGAAGTGTAAAACTCAGGGTGGAAAATGTTTTCTAGAATTTGAAAAAGTATCAAGCTTTTCTTCCTACACCCCCCCCCAGCTTTTTCTCAGTCATCTACTTAAAGGTAAGATAAACCTGCCCTGGGAGTCTTTAAGAGCAGGCCTATTGGAATCACTAGCAAGCACATAGTATCACCACAGTGGGTGGAGGCTCCGACAAGCCCTTTATCATACTCACAATCTTTAGTCCTGACTGGGGTGCGCCTGAAGAAGGAGTGAGCAGCTGCTTGGCTATGGCTTCCCTCTGGGTCAGGCTGCTCGCGCTCAACACGGTCCGAGATCCATCTTCATTAATGACCATGGAGGCCCCAGGGTGAACCTTGGGGCCATTTATGACAGCCTGCCTCAGCTCTTTGACATTCCAGGGAGTGACTGGCTGAGGGTAAGTCAGTTTAGTAGCAAATACCTAGACAGGAGGGAAAAGAGGCAAGAAATAATTAGTTGTTCGACTTGGCTTAAAACAGTACTAAATCACTGAGAAAGTTGTGTCAAATGTTAACTCATACAATATAAACATAAATTACTTTAAGCTCTTGGATGCATCTCCTCCTCAATCTACCAAATAAATACATCTCTGTTCTAAAGTCCTCTACCATAAGTACAGAAATTATGTCCTTTTTACAATTTTCTATGGCAGTAGAAAAGGAAAACTCAATTAGCAATTAAAAAAAAAAAGAAAACATGATTTTAGATTCTGCAAATAAACTGACAAATACAGAGAAAAAGCACATTATCACCAGGTCCACTACTTGCAGATAGGCAAGCAGAAAAGATCGTATAATTAAAAGCTTGAATTCAGGCTTGGTGTCATCTCTGTGTGGTTAAAAATCATTAAGGGTGAATTAAGCTGGTGACATTATTATGGCCTTTTCTTAAAAGCTACCATAGCTGTTACAAGATACGCTGTACAAAGCCCACAGGAAAAAGAAGATCTACTCATAAGGTTTGCACCAATTCATAAACCCAGAAAGCAAGTACAGCTTTTTCTTTTTTTTTTTAAATCCTCTTTCCCAGACGTGGTGTTCAGTATAACTGTAAGAATTTCCTGCTCTTCAATGCTCCTTTATTAACACACAGTAGTAACATACAGTAACATACACACTGGGGAGGAAAGAGTCCAGATGAGTCAGGAAATGTCTACATTTTACACTGCTTGCTATGTAGCTGAAGTATTACAGTATGGTTTGGTCCCCAACTGCACCAAAAAGAAACACTCTCTTTATTCTTACCATGGGAATGCCAATTTCATTGGTACCAATGTACATATCAGGGCAAATGACTGATCGAGCAGCAAAATCCACACGCTTTCCCATCATGTGCTTGCGGAACAGCCCTTCCTTTTTCTCTAATAGCTTTGAAAATAAGAGTTAAGTTGATGATTACAATGTGAAAGCATGAAACATCAGACATATTCTCCAGATATTACAGTGATGAGTATCATGAAAATGCCTACATACTAATCACAACTATTTCACTTATTTCTTATTCCAGCAATTTATCTTGTTTTAACTGGCTGTGATACACAAAGTCCCGAGTCTCTAGGACTCTGCCTGCAGACCCACCTGACGGATACCGGGGTATTTTTCTGTCGTTAGTTTGTCCATGTCACTATCAAACACAATGTTGACATGGCTCTGAAGACGAATCCAAGCATTGTACAGCTTATCTGCAATGGTCTGTCCTGGAATCATTGTCAGGATAGAATGGTCCAGAGATTCATTATTCTCTCCTGTCTCCTACAGAACCAGAAATTAGAAATTTGGACTTAAGAAAAAGTTTATTTACTCGGCTGAAACTATAATATTAAATAGCAAATGAAATATTGGCCACTATTTTGCACCTCATTAAAGACACTAATTTAAAAAAACCAAAACAAAAACATTGACAATGTAAACTTAACTAACAAATTATTACAACCAAGTGTTTCAGACAGGTCTGCTTTCAAGATTTAGAAACTGAGTTGGATGGGGTATCTCCAAACACCACAGCTATACATACCAGTGGGATTTTAAAAGATGACTGCTAATCAATCATCTCCTGGCAGGTGACAGTCCTCTTTCCAAACCAGATGTTACTGGTTAGTCAGTCTGTGCTACAAATCACTGTGCTACAAGGAAGTCCTATCCTTAGATAAAAATAATGTAAATCCAAGAGCTTTCATCACCTGCATCACTTTGTTTTCACAGTCTACGAGTTGGTAAACCAGTCACATCCAAAAGGCATTAACCTTCTGTCACATCAAACATTTTAAGAACAGATCTCCACCTAGTGGCTAAATTCTGAGTAACTAAAAATGTTTTCAAAATGTTTTACACTTAAGATGTAAATCAATTTCATCTGAAACTAATTCTAGTATCAAAGAACCCTCAATAATACAATTCATGAACAAATATTAAAAGAGGCATGGTGACATAATTACTATTTATCACTATGTAACCACATGAACTGGTTGGTAGCAAACAAGCAATGCTAATTAATGTTACTTGTGAATCTTTTGGTTCTATCTAGACATCAATGGTCAAAATTAACCATGATCACAACTGGATCTACTAGGCTTAGAAGACAAAGTGGCTTTTCCCCACCATCATTTTTCATTCAATGATCTGCTGGAAAAGTTTTATTGTGCACTGTTTGTGCTGTACATATTTAATTCTCTAATAACAGGAGCCCGTTACATCTCACATCTAGTAATGCAATATAAAAACCATGATTAAAGAAAAATAAAAAGCTTGGAGAACATCTCCAATGGCACATACTTCTATAGCACAGGGAAAAGCTGATACTGGAACAGTTTAAACAGGAGCCTACCTGAACTCAACCCACATATCCAAAAAGCAAAGAATAAGATAACCGGCAACTCTTACTGTTTGGATTTGTTCTTCTGTAATTTTTATTGGCTCACATTGTTCTTTTGCCATGAAAACCAAGAGCTTCCGTATCATTTTGGCATCTTTCATGACAGCCTGCAAGTTCACAGTCTGACCATTTGTAAACAGTCGGTCTCCAAGACGATTTACGGGACGATACCTACAGCAGATCAAAATTACTTTAGAAGATTAAAGCCACCGAAAAGCAGCATGATAATGCTCAAATATTCTAAAATAAGTCTTTGATGCATGAAAAATAACCCCTATAAACTAACAGTGAGCATTTAAAAATTCATATATTACACTGGGAGAGTCATAAAAGGGAAATGATTCCGTAACAAGAAATTCTACCAGTACTATACAGGTATAACATTCTATAATAATTTAAAATATTAATATTGAAATATATTTATTTCATAATTAGTATTTCAGTCCTTTAACAAACTCATTTGAAGTTATAATAAATCTTTGCATCAGTTACTGCTGTGAGTTTGGTTTTTTTTAACACTCCACTGACACCTTAGCAGACCAGTGTCTGTACTCTAGGTGTTTATTTGCATCTCTGACTCCTGCAAAAAGCATGCACTAAACCCTGTCATTTCTATAAAAGTTTTTTGGCAGAATTTTTACCTTGAAGGTGGAACCACAAGTAGATCTAAAAAAAACATGTCTGGACTGAATTCCGAACCGTCATGGGGATCCATCCCAGGGAAGAGATACCGCAAAAAGAAACCTAAAAAGATACAATAGAAAAGAGAAATCCATTATCACAGCTATTGTTTGGGAATCCAAACCCCCAGATGCATTTGGTCAATCAAGTCAAAAGAATCTTCTAAGTTAAATACTAGTGAGCTTATTTAAAATAAAAACATTTAGACCTACTTTAGAAAGAATTGCCATTGTTCTTTTTGGTCACATACATGATTTTTTGGGAACAAATCTGAAGAGAAATGTAGAGTATAGCAAAAGAAAAAAGCAAAACAGCAGGGAGGAACAGTTTCCAGGTGCTAGGTGTGACTGATACATGGAACTGCTTTGGTTCTTCCAGGCAACTGCAGACAGACTCAGAGTAAAGAGAACTCAAAAGGAGAAACAGCAAAATACACTCTCAGTCTTTAACTGATGTAACTGTGGGGAACAGTAGGTGCAGCACTGTACGAACATCAAATTCTCTGTAAACAACAACTGTGGTTTGTGAGGAGCCACACTTTGAGAATTGCTGATCAAACTATTCATTGAATCCAGCTCTCTGCATTCACCAGCTACCCATCCTCCCATCACAAAATCTATCTTGCAGCCAGAAGCCAGAAGGCAAAGATTTGACAATGAGTTCATATGGGAACATTTGTAGACTTTGTCCACTAAGTGATACAGAAAACAAAGTAATGTTGCTCTTAACAACCATTACCTTCATTCTTCCACAGAGCCAGGATGTATTCCTTGGCAGTCATCGGTGTCAGGTATCCTCTCTTCCCTAACTGGCTTTCATCAACAGCTGAAAAATAAAAATAAATAATTTTTTTTAAATGTATTAAAAAAAAAAAATCACAAGAGGTTACACTGAAAGTTTTGTTTTGTTTTTTTCTTGCTTACAATGATAAGTGCTTCCAGCTCAGAGAAGCAATGGAAATACAAACAAAATATACTGGTTGACATCTACATTAAAAGATCATTAAAGTGTTTGCTTTGGGGATATGAAATTAACTAAAGTAAGAGCCTTCCAGTATGGAAAAAATAAGTCATTTCTGTGACTAATGGATATCAACAGAAGTAACTGAAACACAAAACTCAACTTCAATACCTAAAGTGTATGCTTTATTTGATTAATGGTGAGCTGGACCCCTTCTTCAAATGATCTCATCCGCTGACCAAAACACAAATCAAGCGTCAACCTGCAGCTGTGGAACACAGAAGTGGGTTTCAAGTATTACCAGTGAGACCAAGGTTCCCATGAAATACCCAACTGGACAGGACAACAGCAACAGTCAGCAATCCATCTAGATCATAAGTTAAAGCCTGGGCTAACTGTGAGGAAGGAAAGCACATGGTTTTGCTATTGAAAAGCACAAAGATTACTATTTTTTAAAAAAAAAGACAGATTTTTAGGTGTCAGTTTCCTATTCTCTTGCAGGCCAATCCCTCGTGTCCCAGGGAAGCCAGAGTACACAGCCTGAGGAAAAATATTTCTCCCACGACTTCAGCTAAGGTTTCCTACTGTTCTTTTAGCTAAGGTCCAGAAACACAGATTTTTTTCACACTAAAATTTGAATTCTCCATTCCTTCACATAAAAAACCCCTTTCCATCCCTTAAACACATATGCATCAATTTCCAGGTTAAAAGTATTTCCTCCAAGATTCAATACAATGAGCAACTGTGCCACAGGCTATGCAGAATGTACGTAACTGTAGAGTCCATCCCATTTCAGAAGATATAATACCTCACTGAGATGAAAGTGATCAAATGGTGTTACAGCTTTGGTCTTTGAACACTGACAGCAGGAAGATATTTCTTACCTGTACTTCAGCTGTGAATGTTAACAGAGACTGAGAGAATATGGCTAGATTTGAAGCTTTTTGTGGTAAGGCAAGGTATTCTAAATCTGGCAATTCACCAGACCTTCCAGAACAACTATTTTTTTCCCTAGCATAGTAAAACATGTCCCCAGACTTTGGACAGTCCTAAACGGGCTCAAATAAAAAGCCCAAAGTCATACCCTACAATTTAATGGAGCAAAATCATAGTTGTCACTCAAAAGTAGTAACACTGGGATACACAAACTTTCCTGCCTTTGTTGAATGTGTTCTGGATAGGATGTGACATGTGTTATGGATAGGAAGTTAAAGCAGCAATCTGACCTTTCTGCTTCAAAACTCATTGCTGACATTGTGCTTCTTCAGCTCCAACTCCAGAGATTTAATCCAGTATTTAAACCACAGACTAGCAAATGGAATAAACTTTCTATATACATCTTTTCTGAGGGTTAAATAACTGAATCAACAAATCCACTGCAATTCTGTCTGGTTGTGTAAAGGATCAAGGATACAAAAGGAAAAAATTAAGTTTAAAGTGATTCAAACACTAGGTTAATTAAGCCTGGAAAGTGTCACCTACATTCTTTTCTGTTTTTCCTCTTTAAAAGGAAATTCTTCTATAAGAGTTAGAATTACCTGATTTTCTTTCTGAAATAAAGTTGGTCATCTTCCTCCTAATTAATTTTTTATCTAGTCTTGAAAATCACCTACCCACCAAAAATTAAGTGTCCCAAAACCACATTAGAGTTGACACAGATGATGCTTTTGTACTTCTTTTCCTGATATACAGACACTTGAAGCTGCAAAAGCACAGAAGGCTCAAGAATAAAAAAAACCCTAATGGAACTGGGTACTCCCCTACTGCTGATCTTGTTGTTTTCCTTCAATTTTTATACATGAGTCACAAGTGTATATTCACTGCTAGGAGTCTGTGTGCCTTAAATACAGGAAAATAAGTGCCAACATATTTGAGTAGAAGACATATAACTTTACCTGCTGGCTCATCCAGAATTCCTTCCTCTCCTGACTTACGGGACACTGTAGAAGGATAGGTGACTGTCAGTTTGTTGTTGTGCTCTTTTCTCACTAGTGATCTCCTAGATCTGAAAGGATAAATAAAAAAAGAAAACCAGGAAAAGTAGATAAATGTTAAGACAAGTGCTTACAATATTTAACTTTACACCACCTATTTCCTTCCCCGTGTAGTTAATCTTACTTGCAGTTTGGGCATTTCTTTGAACTCGTATGTGCTTTCCAGAACTGTGCTATCAGTTTATTTCTACACTCACACACATTTTTTACCTGAAAGAAAAAAACCAAAACCTTAAAAATAATTTAAAAAATTAGATATTAAGAATTTTTTAAACACTACATAATTAAGGTTAATTACGAACATGATTATTAGTATTAATACACACACATCCTTATACTGATTTAATTCATGTCTTGATCTCTGGTGTTCCTCCATCATCCCCCAATACTTGCTGGAAACATACATCCCCCAGTGCTCACCACCCTCCTTTTAAAATGTATTTCATAGTCTTTATATTTTTGAAGTCAGTATTGAATTTTAAAGCTTTTCTCTAATGATGATTTAAGAAGGTTGAAGATTGATAAAAATCACTTCTTTTGACTGCTCATGAACGTATCATTTACACACATACACAGTGCTTAAGGTTAGATTTGAAACAAGTGTTAAGGAATTTAACTTGGCTTATAAACAAATCTGCTCCAAGATGTTAGACCTTTAACTATCTTCTTCACTAATATTTTCCTTTAATTAACAATGTACATTAAACTGCATTTAAGAAACGAGTATTAAATTACATTACTCTAAAAACTTCACTGTAAGTAATTCTGCAAATCTGCTGGATGCATGAGTTCTCAAAAAACGTTCTGCAGCTCAAAACAGCTGCAGCATCATACAGAGAAGTACCAACATCTGCAGGTAATGTACTGACAGCAGGATCAGATTATTTTTGTATGATATTTACATCATTAAAACATTTCCCTACACAAACTGCATTCTCCAGGAACCTAACAGTTACACTAACAGGAAATAAAATCTTTTTAAGCTTAATTTCAGACCTTTCACCCAGAAAGCCCACTAAATATAACACAGTTCAGAACTCCAGGGCAAAGTCTAGAGTCGACACAGTCAAAGACAAACTTTCTTCTGCACATTACTATTTTAAGAAGACGAAACCCAAGAGCTCAGGGAAAGCAACAATTGTACTTACATTGGAACACTGATCTCTTATTTGATGACTTTGCAATATTTCCTGAACATGGCGATTTAACTCTTCTTCAATTTCCGAACCTGTTGCATCTGCACATTGCTCTAAAAACTAAAAGAAACAGAATAAAAGACACTAAGATAGCTTTTGAGTTGCAGGACTATCGACTCAAAGAGGAATGGAGAAATAGACAGTACTTGCCCTGCTCACAATGACTTCAAGATCGTGGACGGCATGGAGCAACCCTTTCTCCAGAACCTTCAGCTGACTTAGCAGTAAGTGAACCACAGACCGAGGACATGTCAGCATGTGACAATTTAAACAAGAACCTCGAATTAGAAGGTATAATTTCTGGAAAGAAAAGGGAGAAGGTTTACTAGCTTGCACAGGAAGCAAGTAGACAGATTGGTTTAAACTTGAAGAAAGTCTTACTATAATTGAGAAATTTTAGACTAATTGTTAAATTTAATCATAAAGAATTGGACTGAAAAAAATATTTCTTTCAACCACACAAACTCATATGCAAAGCATGATCTGTGGACAAACTACCTGCAGGCCATCTACATAGCAGGTTCAGGAAAAGCCTGTCATATCTGCAGCAACTCTGGGACCAAGGCTGCTCTTACATAGCACTGTGATTACAGCTTCTAACAGTTTGTCCCATAAAGGACAACGTGGTACCAAAAATCCACACTAGTAAAATGAAACGTTCTGGTCACAAGTATTACCAGTGTCCCTCAAGATTCTTCATGCAATCACTTTCTTCTCAAGCTTTGGGAAAGTATCTGTGGTTTTTATTATTCAGCATAGCCCTGCACACAACTTGTTGTAGCTGCACACAGCACCAGTGGCCTGAAGGCCAGGAATTACTGCTCCATGGTTTTATTCCTTGGTCAAATAGAAGTATTTGACTTCAAACCTGGGTCAACACTAGAAGTGGGATGGACTTCATCCAACTTCAGTCATCTGAAAGTGAGGTTTTTAGTCTCAATTAGTAGCCTGTGCAGGAGCCAGCTACTGTAAAGAGAGAAACTGGCACCTTGGGAGGGAAATGCATCCCAGCTCAGGTTCCTGTTAAAGGCTAGATGAATCTTCACCTGCAAATAGCTCTGCTCCTCGGACTCCAGAAGGAGTGAAAAAGTACTAATCAGATTACACATCTCACTTTCAGAGGACCAAGATAAGGCAAATCCTACCCTTACTGCCAGGAATCCTGTTATATTTAAAAGAGGACTCTTTGAAAAAAAAACACCCACATGAAGCACTGAAAAGAAATGTGCAGTTGGACCATCATGAGGTTTTGAAACGAGCTTGTAACACTTGTCCTGAAAGATGCACACCAAGTCAAATCTCTGCTCTACATTAGGTATCCCACATACCACACGACAGCTGTAAAGCTGTGAGAAGCACGTGTGTCTGACTTCCAGATGCAAGAAATCTTCTTGACAGCCTTTTTTTTATTATTATTATGAAAACTGATGGATTTCTATACAGCTTAGCATTTTCCAACTCCCTGCTGCTGCCAAACTTACAACACTATATTCTTCCCTTGACTTGCCATGTACGTTATGTCACTCAGCAGGTTGCTGGCAAGGTTGCTGGGTCTTAACGGCATCGATCCAGTTTTCTGGAATAAATTATTCTGGAATAAAAAGACCTACTTGGCAGAATGTACAAACACAGCTATTAGGAGCTCAAACAAGCCCTAAATGTCCGGGAAGCACTTGGGAGATCCTAGGGTAAAAGTAAATAGCTGTTCATGTAAGTTTGTAGCAGTCATTTAAAGGAAACGACTAAGAATTTTTACTGTGTCATCCATTTAATTAAAGCATGAGACCCTGCTGTTGGTCATATAGTTTAGTAATCAATATTCCCTCTCTCTTGTTCATCAATACTGAGTAAAATAATAGTTCCAACAAAATGCATATTTTACAAAAGTCTAAGTAGTCTATTTGTATCGAATGATCGTGACACAACTAACTTTTTCTACTGCATTTGCTGTTCTTACACTTTAACTTAGAGAGAAAACAGATTTCAGCACGTTTTAGTATCTTTAAGGACTACAAACTGTTATGACAGCTTGAGCACCATCACCCACTTCACCAGCAAGACAATAATGAAGCGTACATACATCAAAAAACAGGGGGTTGTAGACAGTCAGAGGCAGCTCTATGTGGCCAAAATGACCAGGGCAGTTGGTGAAGTTCTGCATGCAAGTTGCACACACTTCTTTGGAGTCTGGAGGTCCCAAAGCCAAGTCATACAGTCCATTAATGGCTGGATTCCCCATATTATCCAAATACTGAGGATTTGTTATGGGTTTTACACTCAGTTTCCTGAAGTTGAAAGAAAAGAAGAAAACTCAGTGGCAGTAAACAGTCACACAACATACACTTGAACTGTATAACTAGCACTGACAGTATCTGTATGATTTTTCTATTGATGAAAACAGCTTTTTGAGAGCACTTTATGCCTGCAATGGGAATTTCTGTATCATTGATTTCATTGTCTGAGTACAATCATTCATACCACAGCAAGCATTTCTTTCACCTTTTTAGCCATTCCATTAAGTAGTCAAGTAATTTTCTCTGTGTGTCCTCTCAAGCAGCAGGAGAGGTATAAAAACAAGAGAAATACTGAGATGGCAACAGCTGTACATCCTTGACTACCCATAATGCTAACATCACACCAACACTAAAGAAATGGTGACAGCTCTCTAGAACTCCAAGAGAGATGACAGGCTGCAAAAAGCAGTAAAGAAAGCTCTGCAACTATGATGTCAGCTCTGCAATACTTATGCTGGTGCTAAAATAACTGAACACTTTGCCTTGCTGAAACCAGCCAGGTCTCTTCCATGCCAGACACTCAGGATCAGATCCCAGGCCAAGTTTCCAGGCGTGTGCCCACCAAGGAACAAGCCCAGTCTTGCCAGCACAAAGCTCCTCAGGCTCTGACAGTCCCTGCTGGTGCTGAGGTGCAGGGGGTGGGGGGAAGCCAACGAACCCCCTCAGGGGAAGCTCCCCCAAGAGCCTTCGCCCTCCCAAAGTGAGTTTGTACTGCACCCCACAGCCTCTGTCCCTGGCATCCATGAGGATGATCCGAGGGCTGGAGCACC